TTAGCTCTGAGCTCTGACTTCTTGGCTTTCTCTTTTACATTGTTTCTGTGTTTCTTATTTAATAAGACGGTTGGTTACATCTACAGATCTCTGATTTCAAAGTCATCCTGGTCTACAGACCAAGTTTCAGGATGCCTAGGGCTATCCAAAGAAACCCCATCTCAAAGAAAAAAAAAGACAGAAAGAAAGAAAAGGAAAGAAGAAAAGAAAAGAAAAGAAAAGAAAAGAAAAGAAAAGAAAAGAAAAGAAAAGAAAAGAAAAGAAAAGAAAAGAAAAGAAAAGAAAAGAAAAAAACCCTCACAGGAGTGCTCGGCAGATTGGGTCTTACTTGGTTCCAGATATAGTCAAATTGACAACCAAAGCTATCTATATGGGGCATTCAGGGGAATCCAAAATCGATGGCCTAACTACTTTCAGTGTGTATTAGAGTGACCAAGGGGAGCTTGCAGTAGGAGTGATGCTGAGCAGTTTATTTAGGATTACATGTAGTAGTGGGTCACATACACTGCTAGGGATCAGGCCCTTCTGGATACCCAGTCAGCCCAGGTAAAACACTGGATTCAGGCCCTCATGTACATCTATCACCAAACTTAAATTTAGGGATCAGGAAGTCGGGCAGTGGTGGCACACACCTTTAATCCCAGCACTCAGGAGGCAGAGGCAGGCAGATCTCTGAGTTTGAGGCCAGCCTGAGCTACAGAGTGAGTTCCAGGAAAGGCTACAAAGCTACACAGAGAAACCCTGTCTCAAAATAAATAAATAAATAAATAAATAAATAAATAAATAAATAAATAAATAAATAAATAAATAAAATTTAGGGATCAGGCCATGTAGGATACTTCTTCCTCACACCACCAAAACATACTACTATTATTCAGGCCTTGCTAAAAGTTATTCAAACTGCTGTCCCACATACAATGTTAAGAATCAAAGCATACTGAACACACCTGTCCCCCACTGCCACTCTACATAGACTTCTAGGTATCAAGCTCTGCTGGATAGCACTCTCCATGGTCTACTGCCCGAATGTCGAAGTAAACTGCCTACTTGGCCCAGGCCAAAGGTCAGCACAGGGTCAGGAGAATGTCTACAGTTCAATTTAGAGATCTTGACAGGAAGTCTCTAGGATCTGACTGATAGTGGTCAGATCTACATTAAGGTCCTCAGCCAATTTATTTACAATATATCCCTCTCTCCCTAGGGCAGTGGTAAATAGAAGTACCTATAGTCCGAAGTTTTTGTCTGAGTGATGAAGACTGATATGAATAAATGTGAAATGGCAGGTTCTCACATAAGTTCAGATCACATGAAGGATGAGAAGGGGGTATGTCTTTGAGATTCAGATGCCTACCACCACTGTAAAGAAAAAAAATGCTGATTAACAAAAGACTGGGAAACTATGTCTCATTACATGCTTGCAATTTGATGGCTAGAAATGATACTTTACATATTTTATTTTCCTGACAGCTAATTACATTTTTCCCTATGTGTGGATCTTTTTAGTTTCTCCTTCTTCCACGAATTAACTTTCTCTGTGTGTATGGGGTTTATAGGGAAGTCCTAGTGAACCCACCAGTTTCCCCCTCATTTCCCTACTTCTATTTCTGAGACACATCCTCAGCCTGAATTTCCTTTTCAATCATTTCCTATTTCTGTGGTTGGACTCCCTGTGTTTTGATCATCGATGTGCAGGAACTTTCCATTGGACTGTTGCTGGTACACATGGGTTAGAAGCTGGGAATTAGAGCTAGGGTCACTGTGGTCTTGGAGAGTCCAGATTGGGTGGTGACAGCAGACAGGAAAGCTGAATGGGGCAGGGCTTGGAGGTCTGTCTCAAGGCAAGGTCAAGAACTGTCCTTGCAGGGGTCAGGCCGGGGTCAGAGCGGGGTCAGGCCCAGGTCAGGGCCAACTACCCTACAGGTTCTGGAATCTGCCCATCTGGGATGGGCACTAGGGCGGTGAGGATCGCCTGTGGGCCCAGTCTTCTTCTCTGGCCCCTGCTGTTACTGCTGCCCCTGAGCTCCAAGGCTGGTGTCCCTAGTTCCTCAAAGGTTCCTGGGGTAGCACCAAGGAGACCGGAGCCACAGCAAGGCTGGAAACCGTCGGCCCTCAGGCACCAGGATTCTGTGAGCGGAGCAGAAGGTCCGTTTGAAAGCCAATGGGTGGGTGATGGGTGGAGGCTGTAAAGACCAGGTAAGGCACCGGAAGTAGTGATCCTCTTTTGCCTTCCCCTTGGAACCAGGTGCTACCAAAAAAAATATGAACCAAAGGGGTTTAGGTTCCCCTCTGGGACTCACTCTTTGTACCCTAGTTCCCTGTGTGGTGCCATGGGAGCAAAATGGTGTCCAAGGATGACCCATTGATAGAAAGCATGGGATTACTAAAAGTGGGGACAAAGGGAATGAAGCTCCCCGAGGCTTGGGGATTCCTAGGAGAAGATAAAGATAGCCTATCAAGATCTGGGACCAGTAATCTGCGCCCAGACGAATCATAGAAACAAAGTTGTCATTACTGGCCTCACCCAGTCTCCTTTTAGATATGTAAAGCAACTTGTCCCAGGTCCTTCATAAGCACCACAGAGTCCTGCCAGTAATTCTTTTTCCCTGGGATACTGGGCAGACTGAAGTTGGGACAGTCACCGAGAAGCCATGACCTTGAGCAACTAATATCAGTAACCTATGAGACTTCTAGTTTTATTATTTGAAAAATAAGCACAGAGCTGTGTTATTTGAGAAAATTAAGTCATGTAGCCTCTCTTTGGTTTATCTGCTTGGCAGGCCCACTTAAGGATAGGCTGCTGTGGCTAGCATTTTATTTGTTCCATCCCATTTTCCCAGACTTCTGCTCCAACAGAACTGTCTGTGGAGCTTTTCACGTCCAAGGTGGTGGTCAGTAAAAGCAGAGACGAGGGTGGCCCGAAATTACTTGCACTTGTCTTTTGCCATGATCTTCCAATCTGTGAAGTGGAGGAGCTTCCTTAGGGTGTTATTCTGCCTCTCAGGAATTGTGTCTCTAACAGATTGCATGGGGGTGTCTCCTCAGTGTGTGGGAAGCCGAAGATGGTTGGAAAGGTGTTCGGTGGCCAGGATACATCTGCTGGCCAGTGGCCATGGCAGGCCAGCCTGCTGTACCGGGGCTTGCATCTCTGTGGAGCTGTCCTCATTGATTCTCATTGGCTGGTTTCCACAGCCCACTGCTTTCTAAAGTGAGTTTGCCTTATCTGGAGCCCCCAGAGAGGGTCTAGGTGGTGAGAAAGATGCAGGATGAGAGGAGGAAGGAAGTTAGAGATAACATGCCTTTCTCCTCTGGGCTTCTCTCTGGGTAAGTCTATTTTCACCAAAGACAATTTGTCCTTCCTTGCCCCACAATCCTCTCTGCCTGGATTAGCCCCATATGTCATCAAAACTTCCTTGATTTATCCTGGTCCTCATTATCTTTAATTCTCAGCTCCTGTAGGGATCTGTATACTCCCCCTCTGTGTCTGCCAACTAATGCAGATGTTTCCCAAGAGGATTGGCCATGCTTTGTTGTCTACCTGCAGACCTCATCTTATTTTATTGTCCCTTACTCTCCTGTGAGCCAGAATCTAGGCAAAGACCACATATAACTAGCAGCCAGTTAATTTCTTACTTTTGTAAAACTAAGTCCTGGGAAAAACTGTGGTCATGCTTATGCCATATCAAGCTTTACGGATGGGAAGTGCAGGCCCCCCCAACCTGAACAAATGATAGATAGCCAGGAGTCTAACTCCTCTGGCTCTCTGGAGCCAGACAGAGGGCCTAGTTTTTGATCAGAAATGGAGGGACCCAGAGGGAATGGGTGCTAAACAGTCCAGATCAGGGAATTGAAACTTTGCTTTTTGGCTTTGAGACTCTAGCTTAATCCTGTTGGCACCTATTTTGTGCTGCATTCACCTGAGATCCTTTAGGGAACAGAATGTAGGAGACCCTAAGTAAAGGGTTCTTTTGCCTCAGAAGGAACAAACTTCAATCAGTATGATACAGGTAAGACATGGCAAAGTGTGTGAGGAAGGCAGCTCTGAGGAACATAAGTCTATAAAGATGCTGCAATCTTGGAGGAATGCAAAGGAGCTGCAGGGGCTACCAGAAGGGAGGAATTGAGTTGGTGAGGACCCTCCTAGTGTGGGAGCTGTGGGAACAAAGCTGTATACACAAGCTGTTTATTCAGTCCTATTCAGGAACAAGGAAAGCTTCCTTTTGATGTACTCATGTGTGTATTTAACAAGTCCTTTATGAGTGCTTAGCACCAAGTGGAGAAGCAATCTTTGGTAAGGGGGCAGGAAAATATGTTAGATTTCCATCACTGTGACCAAATAATTCAGAAAATGAACAAAAATGAGAAAGATTATCTTGGCTCATGGTTTCAGTTCAAAGTTAGTTGTTCTATTTCTTTGAATCTATGATAATCATAGCAAGAACATATGTGGGTGAGTCCTGATCACCTCATGGTAGCTAGAAAATAAAGATAATGAAAAGAAGTGGGGGGTCTTCAAGCACCTTCTCCTAATACCATAGCTTCTTTTCACTAGGCCTCACCTTCTAAATGTTCCACCCTTTCTGGATAGCACCACAGGCTGATGACTATGCCTTTAGCTATTGGTTTAGGAGTAAGATTTAAATCATAAAAATAGGATTCAGCCATAGTTTTTCTTAAGTAAAAATTTAAAAGGTTTGATTTGAGGACTCTATTAGGGACCCTTCCAATGCTGAAATTTTTTGTTCATTCAATTCTAAAATATAATGGGGAATACTGTGTCATGAGGTTTGAATAGAATATCCATCAGCCTACAGAAAAAAGGCTCCTACTTAGTTACTTTTCTATTGCCATGATGAGACACTATGACCAAGGCAACCTATAAAAGAAAATGTTTATTGGGGCTCACAGTTTCAGAGGGTTAGAGTCCATGACTGTTATGGCAGGGAGCATGGCAGCAGGCAGGCAGGCATGGTGCTGGAGCAGTAGCTGAAAACTTAAATATCATTCCACATGTACAAAGTGGAGAGAGAGATAACTAGTAATGGATTGGATTTTTGAAATCTCAAAGTTCACCCCTCAGTGACACATATCCTCCATCAAGACCATATCTCCTAATTCTTCCCAAACAGTTCCACCAACTAGGGATCCAACATTCAAATATATGAGCCTATGGGGGTCATTCTCATTTAAACTACAGCATTTTACTCCCTGGCCCCCTTAGGCTTGTGGCCATATCATAATACAAAATGCATTTAGTCCAGCTTCAGAAATCCCTAAGTCTTTCAGTCTCAACACCATTTCAAAGTCCAAAGTCTCTCCTGAGATTCACAGTAATTTCTTACTTGTAACCTATAAGATAAAAAAACGTATTACATTCTTCCAACATACAGTGGTATTCCAATATACATTACCATTCAAAAAGGAAGGAACAGGGCTACAGTGAGGAAATACTGGACCAATGCAAGACTGAAACCCAGCAGGGTAAACTCCAAATCATGAAGCTCTATGTCCAATGTCAAAGGACACAGATGGATCTATCCTTCCAGCTTTTCTGACTACAACATAAATTTTCTCTTTTGGATTGGTTCAACTCCCTGAATTCAACTCTCTTTGACTGTTATCCCACAGCTGCAGCTCTGGCATCTCCAATATCCTGAGGTCTCCAGCAGAACTCAGGCTTTACCTTCACAGCTTCACATAATGGCCTCTCTGGGTTTCAGGCACGGATTCCCCTGCCACATGCCTGGCCTCAGCAGCTTTTCTTAACAATAGAGAAAGATTCCACAACCCTTTTACTCATGTGTCCTCCATGACTCTAAAGCCAGAACCACATAGCTGATGTCACCAAATTCTGCTGCCTACTTCGGATGGAACCTGACTCCCTTCTTGAACTGAATTTGCATAAGCTTTAATTTATTGTTGCTCTTTAGGAGCAAGTAATTCCTTAGGCCTTTTCTTTTCACAAGCTATTTGCAGGAATAGCTTGGTGAGGTCTTACCCTGAGGACACTATTCCCTTTACCACCCTCCCCTCATTCTCCTTATCTCTTCAGCATAAACCAAGTCTCCAACATTAAATTTCTTGTTCTTTTTTTCCCTCAAACTGTACATTTTGTATTTCTTTTTTCCATGCTTGCTCTTTTTTTTTTGTAGATCTGCATAAGGGTGATCACTAATAGCCAAGTGAACAAGTCAGTATTAGGTTGTCTTGAACTCTCCTTTGTCAATGAAATTAGCCTCAAGAAGATTCTTAAGAAAAGTGCAAAAAGTAGACACACTCTTTGCCAAAATACAGAAGAATGGTCTATAGTTCAATTGCTAATATTGTTCCACTCTGAAACCTCTTGAGCTGTGCCTCCACAGTCCACATTGCTATCAACACTATTGTTTTCCAAGGTCCTGCTAGGATGGCCAGTTAAGTCCTGCTTAAAGTGTTCAACTGCTTTCCTAGTCCAAACTCCAAAAATCTAATGGATTTCTCACAAACAACAACAAACCCAGTTTTGTCAGGCCTGTGACAGCAATAGCCCATTCCCTGGTATCAACTTCTGTCTTAGTTACATTTCTATTGCCATGATGAGACACCATGTTCAAAGCAATTTATAAAAAAAAAATATATTTATTGAGGCTCACTGTTCTAGGAGATAAGAGTCCATGATCATCATGGCAGGGAGCATGGCAGCAGGCAGGTAGGCATGGCATTAGAGCAGTAGCTGAGAGCTGATGTTCATGCACAAGGTAGAGAGGGAGGTGCAATTAAGAATTTACTTGGGCTTTTGAAACCTCAAAGCCCACCCCCAGTGACACACTTCCTCCAACAAGGCCACGTCTTTTAATACTTCCCAAACAGTTTTACCAATTAGGGACCAAACATTTAAATATATGAACCCATGGAGGCCATTCTCATTCAAACTACCCCAACACTTGACTGTCAGAAAGGGAGAGACCAAGCTGCATGGAATCAGGGCACAGTGGCTAGTGACAAATGATGGTTCAGAAGACAGGACTATCCTCCCACTCAGAGATGATGATGATGATGGAATCCTTTATCTTTCAGCAAATCCCAGGCCCCAGGGGACTATCAGGTTCTGTTGGGGAATACTCAGCTGTACCAGAGAACACAGCACACTCAGAAGATGTCTGTGAACCGTATCATCAAACACCCAGACTTTGAGAAGTTTCATTCCTTTGGGAGTGACATTGCAATGCTGCAGTTGTGTCTGCCCGTGAACTTCACATCCTACGTTGTACCTGCCTGCCTCCCACCTAAAGACACACAGCTCCTCAACTACACTTCCTGTTGGATAACTGGATGGGGAATGCTTTCTGAAGACAGTAAGGGAAAGAGAAGTTGGAGAGGGAGTAAGGGAAGGAAGAGGAGGAAGACAAGAGGTGCATGGGGAGGAAGGAAGGTTTCTGAAGTCACTGGATGTTGCCCTCCGTACCTCACCTCCATGGCCTATGACATAAGAAGGCCATTATAGAGTCCTTCTAACTCGGAAAGTGTGAGAGTCCGCAGCTGCAAACTTCCCTGCAGCCCAGGTTCTAAAGGTGGAGAACTGTTGACATTTGCCATCAAGAATCTGGGCTCTTTGAATATTAATGGTCTTTTTAGTATTTATTTATTTATTTATTTATTTATTTATTTATTTATTTATTTATTTATTTTTGAGACAGGGTTTCTCTGTGTAGCTTTGTGCCTTTCCTGGATCTTGCTCTGTAGACCAGGCTGGTCTTGAACTCACAAAGATCCTCCTGCCTCTGCCTCCCGAGTGCTGGGATTATAGGCGTGCAACACCACTGCCCGGCTGGTCTTTTTATTCTAATAGTTTAATGTCATTGATCTGAGGTGACTTGATTAAATAAAGGTCATGTGTGGAGGATAGTCTATTCCATGTTAATCAGGTTTCCAAAACTTGAGGTAATCAGTTTTAAAAGGTAAGGTTTATTTTAGCTTACAGTGTCAGAGCTTTCAGTCCATGATCACTTGGCCTTGTTGTTTTGGTGAAGCAGCACATTGTGGTGAGGAAATGTGTGGCAGAACGATGATACATACCTTATGGTGGCCAGGAAGCAAATAAAGAGGAAGGGGAGAGGCCATTATACTAGTATCTTCTTAACAGATACACATGTCCAATGACTTAACTTCCTTCCACTAGGCTCTACCTCTTAGTAATAGGATATTCTATTACCAATAGTGTCACAGGCTGAGGAAAAGGCTTCAAACACACTGGCTTGAACACTCAATATCCAAAGTATAGTACATGAGTAAAGTGGAAAGAAAGTCACATGTTATTTGAGACCATTGAGGATGCATGATTGAGAACTGTTGCAGCTTCTGAGTGTTTAATCTCACTTAATCTCAACTGTTTTTTATCCTATTTTTACAGTCTTGCCAGGTGAACTATATAATGGAGAAATCCTTTTGGTTTTATTTGCTTGTTTGTTTTGTTTGTTTTTGGTATTGGGGATTGGTCCCAGTGCCTTGCACATACTTGGAGCAGGCTCTACCAGTGAGCCACTAAGAACCCCTTGTTTTTATTATTTTAGATTGAAAGTAGATAAATGTATGCAGAGTCATCACCAGAAGTATTTATTAAAGGATTATGACTTGGGAAATATGCTTATGGAATATGAAATGAAAAACAATGTAGATTTGTAGTTGTTTGTAGTATCATAATTTGGCACATTTCTTCTCAAAAGAAGTACTTTAGATGTTTGGGGAAGAACATGTCTTCCTGAGGAGCTTTCCCCATCCACCCCCCAAATGCACACATTTTTGAAAGCTGAGCCCACATTTTGCTTTACTATACCAGTCTAGTAACTGATGTATACTCCACAGTGCTGCTGCTATATACTCTGGCATAATTAACTCCCATTTGTTGACTGTAGTTTCTAAAATGGTCCTCTACTTTTATTCTTGTGTGCTTCTACATAAATCTCCATGTGGCTGTCAGCATTACTTTAAAACATAGTCATGTCATTTTCCTTTTCAGAACCCTCCACCACCATCTCACTTGTGCTTTAAATTAAAATTAAAATAAATCCCTGTCAAGATCTTCTGTGATGATAGCACCCTGATCCATTTCTGCTTCATCACTTACTGCTTCCCTAATATACTCAACCCCAGCCTCCTTACCTCTCCTTGAAGATGTTGAGATCATTTCTACCCCAGCACCCCTTTTTTTTCTATGCAATTTACTCTCCTCTCTAGTCTCGGTATGATTGGTTTCAACTTATTTTTCAGTCTCCCACCTGTTGCTATAGTTTTCCTGGTCTTGCCTGGCCCAGGGCCAGACCCAAACAAGTAAACACACAGAGACTTATATTATTTACAAACTGTATGGCCATGGCAGGCTACTTGTTAGCTGTTCTTATATCTTAAATTAACCCATTCTATTAGTCTATAAGTTGCCACGTGGCTCGTGGCTTACTGGTACCTTACATCTCCCTTGTCATGGTGGCAGCTGGCAGTGTCTCTCTGCCTCAGCCTTCCACCTCCCAGAATTCTTCTCCTCCTTGTCCCACCTACCTTATCCTTCCTGCCTGGCTACTGGCCAATCAGAGTTTTATTTATCAATCAAGCATTCACAGCACCCACCTGCATTTTACTTAATTATGTGAGCTAAAGTAGACAATCTGTACTGTCACCTCTCCCTGTGTTATTTCTTTAACACCAATGAGTTAATTGATTTTTTTTTTTGGTTTCCCAACTAAAAAATGGTCCTTTGTATCAGTTTAACTAGCACAAAGATATTGGTGATATGGTCAGTGGATAGGTGAGTGAGGTGGAGTTGAGTGAATCAGGGAGAGGAAGGAAGGAAAGAAGAAAGCAAGGAAGGAAGGAAGGGAGGGAGGGAGGGAGGGAGGGAGGGAGGGAGGAAGGAAGGAAGGAAGGAAGGAAGGAAGGAAGGAAGGAAGGAAGGAAGGAAGGAAGGAAGGAAGGAAGATGGTACCTGGGTGTTGTGGATAGAAATGATAGTAGGTATGAGGAGGAAGGATGGATAGAGACACTAATGAAAGAGTAGATGGGTGGAAGGGTGGATGTGGGAAATGGATAGATTGATGAAAGTAATGAAAAAATAAGTGAGTATATAAGTGAATAGGTAGATGAAGACATAGGATAAAGGTTAGTGATAAATGTTGCTGAACAACATTGGGCACATTGTGTTAGTGGGTTTTGCCTCTTTACACAGTAGATATGTGATCTGTTGCTGTGTGAGAGGTGAAGATGGTAAGTGGGAGTTTCTGAGAAAGAGGAGAGAAGTTCATGAGAAGTAGAAAGATGGAAACAGAATTTGACACTCAGCTGTCCTATGGTGAGCATCAGTCTTTCCCAACTAAGCCACAGTGTCCATCACTGACTTCCTCTTTATTTTCACAGCAAAACTGTTACCACCCTTCTCACTGCAGGAAGGTGAAGTGGGAATTATTGAGAATGAACTTTGTAATGCCTTATATGGGCAAAGACCAGGCCAAAGCAGGGGCTATGTGCATGAGGAAATGCTGTGTGCAGGGGGCCTCTCCACAGGAAAGTCCATCTGCCGGGTGAGTAAGGCTGTCCTGTGTTTTCCCCATGCCTGTTCTCTTTATCTCAGTTCCTCTAGGAGTGGCTGTATTGTCCTGTAGTCTTTGTGGAGACCCCCACACTTCCTGTTTTATTACCTCTACTTGTTTTCCTTGGGTTCATGCCTCAATAGTCTCCTTGAGGATAGCTATTCCTTTAGCAAATCCTAACATCAAGTTTTGTTGCATATTTTATACTTTTTATTTAGGCATAACAAAAATACAAATATGTAATTTCTAAGTAAACAGTTTAGTAATACTTCCAGTGATGACTTAGCATGCTTCTGGTACCCATCTCCCTTTCTTGCCACTAAGTATATTTTGCATGTTCATTGTCATATCCTGTCTTCTGTAATGTTTCATTTAAGTTTCTCAGTTTGTTGTTGGGTTGTCAATTTCTTATGGGAACTCTTTATACGGCATAGGAGTAAGTTCACTATTGGACATAATGGATTGTCTGGGGAAACTGTCCCAGAGAAGGAAAATGATTGGTCTGAAGTGGAGCACAACCAGGGCCCAGATGTTTGGATTCCAATGCCTTCCCCATCTCTGCAGGCTTCGGCCTTCTGAGCTGACATTGTCACCATTATAGAATGGATTTCCCATGGGGTTTTCCTAAAGACATTTCACATCTCTAGTAACTCTCAGCAGGGTTCTGAAGACCCCTGCCTATTGCCTGGTGATATGAGCTGTCTTCACCCAGTCAGGGGATAGGCATATTTTTTCAAGAGTTCCCATTCATAGGTTGAGAAAATAGTCCAGGCCAACATTACTAATGGCAGTAGAGTTGACTGGATATATCACAGCAGCTCAAGGTTTATGGAGCCAGGATCTACACATAGATTAGCAGAACCAGCTTGCTTACAAGTCCCTAAACTTTCCCTTTTAGACATCAGGCATGGCAAACAAAGGGAAAGGTTCATATGTTTATAGCTTGATACCTGTCCTCATCCATCTTGTCTATGTAGGGTCCTAACGTGCAATTGGTATTTCTGGTTCTAAGTAGATCTCACACTAACTACTGTCTCTCTCCTCAGGGTGATTCTGGGGGCCCCCTCATCTGCTACCAAACCAGTGCATGGGTCCTGGTAGGACTGGCCAGTTGGGGCCTGGATTGCCGGCATCCTATTTACCCCAGCGTCTTCACCAGAGTCACCTACTTCACTGACTGGATCAGCCAAGTCAAGGGACTCACTCCACTTCCAGAATCTGAATCTGTGTCTCCTCACACAGAACTTCAACCCAGGCCTCTGAGAGCTGCTGGCTCCCCACAGCCCTGCAGCATCCTCATAGCTGCACAAGTCTGGTTCCTGCTACTATTTATGCCTGAGGCTCAAGACCAGGCCCCAGGGTGAGCACCAGGCCTTTGGTCATTCTTGGCTCAGGCTTCTCTAAGCTATAGCTCCACTCTTTAGTTTACCATCTTCACCTTTTCCTCAGCATATCTGCCCATTCACTGCCACTACACAAAAAGCCCAGGAAAGCCAAGCAATAAAGCTTCATCCTTCTTCAACTCTTATTGCACCACCCTTGTAGGTTTCCCATATCCCTCAGTGATCAGACTTATCCTGGAGTTAGCCATCAGACCTCAAAAGGGAGGAGATGGAGCATCGCAAGGAAACTCTCCTTGAGGAAAAGGCAAGGAAATTAGGGCATGCCTAATTGGGAAGGCAAATGGGGGCATGCCCACTACAGGGATACTAAGGAGTCAGGATTCATTCTGGTTAGAGAGTGACATCTCTCTGGTCTTGTAGATTGTCCATGCCTTGGGGAATGCCAAATCCTTCCGGAAAAATAGAACTTTACATCTGTCCTTCAAGTTAAAGGGAGCAAAGGCCTCTTCCTGAAGTAGGGCAGCAGCACTCCTGGGTTTTAAGGAGGAAAAGCCAATGCACAGAGAACCTGAGAGACTGTTTGAAGTGATTTTGTGGGGTGCTGTGCTAGGATCAAGTCAAAGGGATAGACATGTGACTTGTGGCTAGAAGCCTCAATGGATGTGGGGGACTGGAACATTAGTCAGAAGCAGACAGAAGCTGTTCTGGTGGCTGTATGAAAACTAAACATTAAACCAACAGTGCTCAAATCTCTACTCCTAGATGAATACTCAGCATCACCCTCACCTACTCCCAGAGGCCCCACTCTTCCCACAAACCTGGTCCCTGATGTCTGAAGCCCAGGCCATACCTATCTCTGTCCACACTTCAGTGGTCAGAACTTGTTGTAACCTTGTTGTTTAGTTGACTCAGGACTTAGTAATCTAGGAAAATTTAAAACAACAAAAAAATGGTCTTGTGGGCCCATTCTTGAGGCAATTATACCAGGCACAGAGTATTTATGTGGCCAGAAGGAGTTAAGAGGCCTCACAATGCTGCCCATTAGAACCCTCAATAAAGAGGAGAGCTCCTGCTTATCCCAGGTCCACAGGAACCAGACACCACTCATGAGATTTAAAAGAAATCCTTTCTAATCTTGGTGTTATCTGAACTTCCTGGACTCTCACTGCTGGTACAGGGACTTGTGTTTACTAGCAGCAGTGTTCTTGTTTTCAATCTTTTGCTGCATGTGCAACTGGGCTTCCATCACAAAAGGATCTTACGAACATTCAAGAAAGTATACTGCATACAGCCTCTGCCCCAGGATATGGTCTATAGAGTGCTTGTCTATCATGAAAGAATCCAAGTTCAATCCCTAATACTGCATAAACAAGGTATGATGACAAACACCTGTTATCCCAGGACTTAGGAGGTAGAAGCAAGAGGATCCGATTTTCAAGACCATCCTCAGCTTTATAATAAATTCCAAATGAGCATGCCTTAAACCCCCTTACCTGCACACACACAAGAAAATGTCTTCTTAGTTCTTGGAAGAAACTTTTTTGGCAGACTATCTGGCCACAACTGCGCTTCTAAGATACCTCTACAGCTGGTTGTACATCTATATTCATATTGGACCTTGCTGCTTCAAGATTTATGGAATTAAGAACTCAAACACTTCACTTAGTGACAAGCTTGGTTATGGGGTCTTGCAGCAAAGTTCGTAGGACTCCGAGATGCCAGTTAGCAAGCTCTCTTCTTCATTGAGGGCTCTAAAGTCTGGAGAGGAATTAGCCTGTCAGTAGTGTGGACCATACATATTCTTTAGTAAGGGAAGTTCAGGTGGCTCAGTATGGATTATGAGTTCCTTCATTGCCCTACAGTTACCACGACAGCCCCTCAGACTAGCTGGACTCTAGAAACCTGAGTGTCATTGGGCTTGGCATGGACTTTTGAAACCTCAAAGTCAAACACCAGTGACATACTTTTTCCAACAAAGCCACATGTCCTAATCATTCTAATCCTTTCAGAGTTCCATTCTCTGGTGACTAAGCATTCCAAAATATGGGCCTAAGGGGGCCATCTTATTCAAACCACCCAATGTTCTTATAGTCTAAACCATAGATCTCAATCTATAAGTACCCTACTAAAGAACACAGCCAAAACTCAGCTCTAACTCAGCCTAATTGATCTATTACTTGATGGCATCTGAAGTACTCACTATTCATATCTTTGTGAAAGTAAACTGGGCTCTATTAGCACTGATTAACTACACAAAAAGGGTATCAGCAGTAAGTAGTGGAACAGGAATCAAACTCCAGAGACCTCTTGAGAGGGCTTGAACACCTTCCTTTGTCACAGATTGTGCCTACATGGCTGCTGCCTAAGCCTCCGATGTCTAGTAAAGCCTTAATCTGGCCTGTACTGAGAATGAGCATCAGACATCTACTTGGGGAGATATTGTAGTATAGGACCAGTGAGCCTGAGGTTGGATTTGCCAGATACAAGGATGTCACCGGAAAGGAGGATCAGAAAGATCTACGATTTGCCTTGCCCTCCATGATGATGCTATGGTTACTGTTCATATTGCCAAACTAAAGTCCAGTAGTGCTTTGGAGTAAAAAGAAATGAGCTGACTTCAGAGAGAGGCTTTGCTTTCCATTCTGGAGCAGATAGTGCTGGGAATGTAACCAAATGCAACTGAGTTCACAACTTAGTGAATGAAAAGCCAAATTAAGCATAGCTATAATATCAAGGAGTGGTACAAAACTGTCTGCAGCAAGTGAGTACAGCATAGACATATTTCAAAATTTCCAAAACAATGTTTTCCCCTAAACAAAGGAAGCATGAGGATTTTATGAGGGGCTATATGTACATGTGGACAGGCCAATTCTTAAGCATGACGAGCTTAAGGTCATTATATGTATATACTATTATAGACACATTTTGGGTGCCACATTTAGCTCAAAGTCTCAGAACACATAAATGATTAAAGTGGTAAACAGAAATTCCTCTGAGTATGTCCAGTCTGCACCATAAAATTTTAGCCAAAAATAAGGTATTTTGAAGCTACATTAATATGAGTCTACTCCCAAGAATGCCTACCTGGCTTAGTCACTTATAAATTTGCCCCTGAGACATTTCACTTACTGTTATAGGATCAGGGATAAAGGATATATATTTCCCAAAGGACTGGGGCACTTTACCTTTCTAGTTAGGGAATGAAACTCTTGAGGTAAAGGACAAGATAGGCCTTAGAATAATGTGGGGGCAGTCTAATACTGTAGCTTGAGGAGATATATACATATGTAATTGTTTTCTTAAAACATTAAGACACATCTAAATATGACACAATCATGAATAAGTGAAGTTGATACTTGTAATTTATGTAGCCTAAAAGATATAGGTAATGTCCCTATGAATCAGGGCCAAACAGTTAAGCAAACAGACCAGTTAGAAAAATAAGAAAAAGATGGAAATTCATTGTGATACTTTATACAAATTTCATTGAATGTGATTTTCAGCTTTCGGTTATAACAAAAGAACTTTCAAAATAAGATTTAAGCTATATAAACAAGCTAAGTAGGGCAGTAAGACAAAAAGACTCATTACTGTTTCAGCTATATTATTGTTGGGATTTTTGTTGGTGCATAGGGTAGGCATTCTAAAAGCTGTTAGATAAAGGGTCTATCCCTTTAAGATGCTGATCATGATAAAAAGATCATATCCCAAGCCTGGAGAAATAAGGCCACTCTCCCCTTTAGCTCTCTTCTTGGTCAGAGTTAAGCTGCCATGCTGTGTTATGGTCTCACCGCCTCTTCCCCTCAAAGCTTCAAGAGATGCATCAGAGGAATTAGGGAGAGGGGTGAGGGTGAAAATGATCAAAGTATATAGTATGAAATTCTAAACAATAAAAATGACTAAATCATCCTAAAAATCTCACAAATGTACTTTTCCTTTGTAGGTTGACAAAACCTAGTAAGGAAACCTCATATCTCAAGGATATGAAAGTCAATGAAGGAGACAGTGTGGGATGCCATATATTGGAAATAAGGCTAAGCTAAGAGATAGGAAGCAGAGCTTCTCCCCAAGCCACCAGAGAGTGAAAATTCTCTTAGGGACATATCCCAACCATTCTTCAAAAATAGTGTCAGGGAATCAAGTCATATTTCAGAAGCCCAGAGAGAAAATAAATGAGAGCAAACCTGACTTGTCCTTTTTTTTGAGCACAAGCCCTGGGTTACCTGAAAGCCATGCCACATGAAGAAAGCACAAACACACTTTATTAGAACATTTATTGGGGGCAGTCAGTATTATCAATAAAGGATGGGATACAGAGGAGGGGAGAAATTTTTTTCTGATAGAAATTCAGTAAAAGTATTTTCTGCTTGTAAAATTGAGATGAGCTTCCTCACACAGAGCCTACAACCAAGGGGAGCAACTGAAGGTACCTGGCCAAGATTACAACTACAGATGGAATATTTGTGAGGCTCTGGCTACTGTGGGGCATGGATGGGCAATGCCTCTGACACAGTAGTTTCTTCTGTAAAGCCACACATTTCTGGAACTGTATGGACCTGTCTGCCACTGTCTCCCATTCATTTCTTTTGGTCAATGGAAGTATCACCTGCACCAAATTCTTCTGTTTTGCAGGCCAGAGGGTATGCTTTCTTGGCAGATGGAGGGAAGTCCTTGTTATGGCACTTGTCTAAGACATATGAATGCACCCAGGGCTCCTGTTGCTGTTCCACACTAAGCCCTGTTGTGGACAAGTGAACCCATTGTACCTGAGAAGCATTCATGGGTCCACTGGATGGGCTTTGGTCATGCATGAGTAAAGGTTTGTAAGTGAATTTCTCTGAGGCAGGGAGCATGTCATTTGGGGGCCCTAGAGCTTGGATGGGCAGTCTGCTTTCTGCTTTAAATTTCTCCTCCCTAGATACCTGACTATTGCAGTCAGATGTCTGACTTTCCTGGAAACCTGATATTTCCTTCTGGGCCCTTCCAGCTACCAGAGTACTTTGTACTTTTGTTGTATTCCCATCTGCCCCTTGGGCACTCTTGCACTGGCTGGTGTTCAAGATCTTGGTAGGTTGTGGTTGAAGACCACTGAGCTGCCCTCTCTTGACTATGTTACTGACCTTGTTGGATACAAATATGTTTTCGTCATTCATCTGTGTTCCTTGAGGCTCCTGGACTGTTTTGCTGAAATCCAGTTGCTTACCCACTGGCACAGGGCCAGCCTCAGTGGATATTCTGGGCACATCTGGGCTATGTCTATTGCCCTCTGACTCTTTCAGTCTGATGTTGTCTAAGCCAATAGATGCCTGATGCAGAACAGACTTTGTCATTGTATATGTGCTTTTGACATGTCCATCTTTGTTATCAGAGGGTAACTGTCTTTGAGCCTCATGTTCTTCCTTATCTATACCTAAGGTATAAGGGAGAGGACAATGCCCCAATCTGGACACAGTGCCAGATATATGACCCTCATTGGTTTCATTGAGATGACTGATCAAATGCTTTTGCAGGGCAGTTTCAAGTTTTTTCTGACACTGGCTCACCTCTGAGGTCCCTGAAGGTTTGCCTGACAGACTGCCTGGGTGGCATTGTAGGTTCGTCTCACAGTCAGATTGCAGGCCATTAGCTAGAGCACCCTTGGTATTACTCCACAGCTGATGTTTTTGAACAGTCTCTAGGCTATTTCTCCTTGCCTTTAACAGTTTCTCCCTTGATTGCCTTGCTGGGAAGCTTCCAGGTTCATTCAGTACAATGTTGTGTAGGTTTTTGCTGTCCTGTTGCTTAAAGAAAGAGATCCACGAAAGCCCGTAGTTGCTCGTAGATGAGGATGACTCTGGAAGTTCTGCCCGAGGACTCATCCATGACAGAGACTTATGGACCCTCTTGGGCAAGCCCCAACGTTGTAGTATGAGCCTCTTTCGAAGGTGGTGCTCAAGTTTCTTCCGGAGCTCACTGGTGAGGAGGAAATTTCCAAGAGAGATGGACCTGGGAACGTGGATCTTGGAAGACTGCTTGACCAATGAGGATTTGGGAGGTGGGGGACAAAATTCTTCCTGGGATTTTTTTACTACAGTAGGTAAACCCCACACCCTCTCCTGTTCCTTTTTCAAGATGTTGTATTCCAGACAGTGGATTGCAGATGGATCAAGAGGTTGTACCTTATCCTGGGGTCTGTGAAAATACACCCCACAGATTCTAAGCTGGGAAAGATGAGAAGGTGACAGCACAGGAACTGAGTGTTGAAGCTGGGCCTGGGGCTTGGCTGGAGGGACAGGCTGAGACTGAGATGGGGACAGAGTTTGGGGCAAGTTCTGTGGTTGACTCTCAGGCAAGGATAAAGGTGTGTGGTTGGTAAGCACTGGGGAATCTGAGAATCTGTTGAAGCACTCAGAGGTCAGGGAACTGTCAGCCCACACAGTAGCAATGGAGTTCATGGACTTGCTGTGTGGAGAGGGGAGGCTCCAGAAGAACTGGATGTGTTGAGGCTCTAACTGGTCTTCAGAAGTTCTGAGATGGGGGGACTGCTGGTACATGTGAAGTCTCTCTAGTTTACCTTTGCAGCTCCCCAAAGGATGGGGAACTGCCAAGTTCTGCTGATCAGAATCTGGGGTCTTCCCCAAAGTTTTAAATGAATCAGACATCTTTCCATCTTGCCTCTCAAGTAGTACCATGGCATCAGGGCTGGAAAGGGGAAGGTTTCCGGGTAATGTAAGGCAGGTTGTGATGTTTCCCCATAAGTAGGATTCAGAAGAATGGAGGTCAAGAAGCTCTTGGTTAACCAAATGTGCTGGCTCCAATTGGAAAGAGTTGTCAATATCAGTCTGCTGCTGAGTAAATTCTGACATTGCATGCCTTGAATTGCAAATGCCTTTGTTTGTTGGGATAGTGAACAGCTCCCTAGGGCTGCCCACCAGAGACAGAATGGTTGCTGGTTGAGGAAGCAATTCTGTTTCCTGAGTGGCATGTTGTGGAAGAGGGAAAGTGGTAAATGGATGGAGAGAATCATGGTCCAGAGAGAATTTAGCATTCACAGGAGGAATAGATTCTGATAGTACAGAGTCACCCAGTGGTGAGGCAAAAAGTGTGTCTTCTAAGTGGGCACTCTGGTGAGGTGAAATAATGGAGGAAGAATGTAGAGAAGGCTCATATGGAGGGTCCGAAATTGGATGTCCTAGAGGATTTTCTGGGAGGGAAAGGGACAGAGTCAGTGAGGTCTCAGTCACAGAAACTGTAGTGGAATCCATACTGGACACAGAGGCAGCACCATCTTCGAGGGTGGCCTGAGAAAGCAGGCGACTGATCTTAGCAGTTGCTCCATTACACACATCACAGAAGGGATCTGGACATAGTAGTTGCCGAAAGTGGGAGGGATCATACAGATCACCTAGGGGGCTGCAGGAGATAGAAATTTCAATTCTGTTGTAAAGACCAGCATTGAAATGGGACCTAGCTGTGATGGAGATACCCAAAGCTTGTATGTCTATTCATTTTATGCCACCCATAGCTTTCAGAGATGCTGTAGCCTCTCTCCATGCTCTGTTGTATATTTGTCCCATTGAATACCCCTCCCATGACAAGAGCAAGCCCACAGAATACCCATGAACTTTTGATCATAGGGAAAATGAGGCCCAGGAAAAGAGGAAAGAATCACCTTTGCACAACAGACAGAAGCTTCCTCCATTCCTGTGTTCGTCTCTGGGTAGTTCTACAACCTGGGAAAGCATAGGTGTTAGTTTTAGGAAAGAAAGGTAGAAACATAATGATTACACAGGCATCCCTTTAAGGAAAATACTTAGGCTAGTAAAGCCTAAAAGTACCAAGAACAAGTAGACAAGATCAAGTTGTCATTAAGAAGGTTCACATGTATGTGGTTTCATGTAAAAAGTACCTTCATGTCTCATGTGATGATGCTCACAACCACCATGTAAAGCACACAAGTCTTAGTTTCCTCAGAGGTATCTGAGCACCCAGATGTCAAGAATGGATATCAGGAGGCAGGAACTTGTGACTCAAAAACAAACAAACAAAACCCCCAAAAAAAAACCCAACCAATGAACCCCACCCCTGAACACCCATAGTCCTCCCTGGACATGTCCAGTGCTCATTGCATGCGTGGCACCCACTGTCCAGTTGGTGCCTGTCAGCTTCCTGCCCATAGGAGAGCAAAGCATCAGCTCCAGTATGTCTCTCATGCTGTTTTCCTGTGAGTATCTCCTTTGAGGACTATTTCCTGAGAGACTGTGTCTGGGAACTTTACCTCCTCAGATCACAGACCTAGGACAGTATGAGAAACTGGAAAGAAGATGTCCAATGAATAAGAACCTACCTTTAAATGATCTCCTCTTTCCTTTGTCTTTGCCACTTGTGCCCTGCCACTGTGGACATAGAGAAATGAACAAGGTACTATACTTTTTTTCTGGTGTTTCTCTTCTGAAGAAACCCAGACTTCATAAACCAAGAATATTATGATATCTATTCAATTAATGAAATTTACTCATTCCTTTAGTTAACTTTCAGAGGTGACCAGATGTTTTGTCTTCACTTCTTTAGGAAATCAAAGGGAGATTTTTGTCTGTAAAATCCACGTTTGGGATTATCAGTCAAAAATTTGAGGCCAGATGCAACATCTGTGCTCCCTTTGAGACCCCTTTGTCCTGTGGGACAAAGCTCAGCTTTCAGGTTCTGCTCAGAGGCTCCAATCAGTCAGTGCTGCTTTCCTAACCAGCCCAACTTGGAGGATAGTTGGGTGAATAGTAGGATGAGAATGGAGCCTGGGATTGAGTGTCAGGAAAAGCTATTCTCCTCCAGAGTACCCACCTTCTAGAACTAATCCTTTGAGACTAAGAATCAGTGTTTTGTACCTTTTTGCCCTAGAACCTTTATCCATACCCAGAGTAGCAGACTGAAGATCCAAATGAAAATTTTAGTCCTCCCTGTATTCCTCCTCTGGCAGGACTTAGGCCTTAGGACAGCAGTGTTCTTTTCTCTCCCCAGTGTCCCATCTTAGGCAGGTCTCTGGTAGACAGCCAGACTCCTAAAGTAACTCATTTGGTATTGTAGCATACCAATAAAGAATATCTCTTGGGGTCCACCATACATCCTCACCTTTTTGATGTCCTGACTTTTCCAAGGTGGTGGTAAGAATGGTTTCAATATCAAATACCATAGGTATAGAAGAATAAACCCCACTCCACTCAGAAAGATATAATTGGGGTCAGTATCCAAAAAAGCCAATCCAAAGTCCAACCATGGTTCAATATATCTATTCAGAAAAGAGAGGATGTTCTCCATAGACTGAATCACATGGCTGCCTGAGGCATCTGAGTTCTGAGATTGTATGGGCCTCACTGTAAGCTCAGGTATGCATCACAGAGCCAGGGAGAGTCATAGAGGGTTTGTGAGGGCGGAGAAAAGGGTGAGCCCTCAGCTCCTCCCTCTCCCTCCTCCAAGCCCCATCAGTGACCTCTGCTTGAGACTGCTGCTCAATTTTCCATTCCCCCTTACCTCACTTCATGTTCCTCAGGGAACTTTTCTCTTTGTTCCCTCTGTGATCTGGTTGCCAACTCATTCATCTTTAGTTTTTGGATGCTCTTAAATTAAACTCAGCCAATTCTCCTGACTTGAGAGTCTGATATGACACCTGGAATTGGTCTGGGACAGATATTTAGTCTCAGCAGCACAAATGGCCTACATCTAATACAGTGGTTCTCAACCTGTGGGTAGAGACCCCTTTGGGGGTTTAAATGACTCTTTCACGGGGGTCACATATCAGATATCCTGCATGTCAGATATTTACATTAAAGTTCATAACAGTAGCAAAATTACAGTTATGAAGCAGTAATGAAATAATTTTATGGTTGGGGGGGTCACCACAACATAAAGAACAGGGTCACAGCTCTAGGAAAATTGAGAACCACTGCTTTAATATAATACATCTTCTCTATAGAATGGTTTTTCATCTAATTCAGCTATAAAACAAAATTTCTTTTCCATGCATTTACTTTTGTAAATATCCCATAACAAATTTTGTTTCAGTCAGCCTTTAGTGTGTTTAGTTGGACAGGCTGAATCACAAAACTAACATAAAAAATGAGTATACAAACTAACAACTTCAAGCCTTCTGATTTAGAGAGCTATTCCATTTGCTTTTCTGAAGCTATTGAAGCTTTAGATGGACCAACACACACACACACACACACACACACACACACACACACACACACACACACACAATTAGCAAGTCCCTGTGGTAATTCCACATCTAAGAACAATCAGTCTTTTTTTCTGTCAGTGTCTAGTTATTGTGATAGTTCCTCCAACTGAATGTAACACAGACTATCCTAGACCATCAATTTCTAAGTGTTTTGCACTTTGCTTAAAGCAATCTTAATTAAACTTAGGGGCTAATTTCTAGGTTTTTGTGCAGTATCAAAGCCTTAGTGTAGAAACTGTGATTGAGGAAACTTAATTGTTTACCCATGTGAGACATCCAACTCTAATCTTTTTTGTATGTATTTTGTCATTAAACTATTTGAGAATTCCTGCTCTGTGTAATAACCCTTGCTAATATCCAGAATTTTATAGACTTTCAACAACACATTTTTATACATATTCCAAGGTTTGAATAAATTAAAATTCCACATTTCACAGACAACTATACTTTTCTACTTTTTGTTCTCTCATCAGCTGTCCTCTGGACTCTGACAGTACCTCATTACTCCCTCAGTCTTGAACCCCTTCCTTTGACATTGTGACTGACCCTCCTTACTTGATCTCTTGTGATGTGATAGAGTCTCCAAGCCAGGCAGATTCAATCACCTATTGGTTACACAGAAGCAAGTAACCTTGTCCTGAGGACAAACTACACTTCTTTGTTTGTAACATCAGCCAAATTTTCATGTACCACATACCTACATCTAGAGCCTAGGATACATATATACCTGTAGTTCACAGACTCTACCGTTGGGCACATTATGCCAAGTCCAGATTATTGAGATATAGGAAAAGGCTAGGGAGGCTGGCAGGGAAGGATGGTACCCCTGTAAACACTATCAGAAGTTCCTTTAACATAATGACCTCCTAACCTTGAAGTATTCCATGAACATCCATCATCCACTAGCTATAATGTCCTTACTCCCCAAAAAGAGTGGTAGAGTGGTGTGTGGTGTGTGGTGTGGTGTGTGTGTGTGTGTGTGTGTGTGTGTGTGTGTGTGTGTGTGTGTGTGTGTGTGTATCTGCTGTCTTTCTCTAACCCTTGGCTCCCTGCACATCATATGGTGTTGCTGTTCTGGCTCTACTGACCTGGGTACCCTTGGGGGCAGGGGATGAGAAGATGCAGAGTCAACAGCACAGACTCTGAGAGTTGCAAGCAAGCTCATTTATTAAATGAAGGGCCGAAGTATTTGTGTGCTGTTTGGTAGGCTTTGCTTCTATGGCTATTGTGGCATTTGATTTGTCTCTAGGCTGCATGCCATCATCTTTAGGGTCAGGTTTCCTCTGGCCAGAGTGCGTGTCACAGCTTGTTGTTTGCTTAAGGTGTGGCCCCGTGCTTTTGGCCTTATCTGCCTCAATTGACATTTGTGTTTTGTTTATTTGTTTAACACAAGGTCTCACTCTATAGCCCAGGCTAAGCTGGGACTTAACTACACAGCTAGGCTGCCCTCAGCCTTGTAAGAAATCCTTTCACATCAGCTTTTCAAGTGCTGGAGTTATATAGGTACGCACCACCATACTCAGTTTCTTAGCAGACTTTTGGTTTAGATTTGGCTGGTTAGTTGGTTGGTGACAGGGGCTCATGTGATGTAGGATGTCCCCAAACTCACTCTGTAGTTGAGAATGAGCCTAAAATTGGGACCCTCCTGCTACCTTTCAAATGCTGTGCTACCATACCCAGCTATCTTGGCAGTTTTTGAGGACAATTTCTTACCCTATTTCTGCCTTTCCAATGCTATTCCTTTTGTTATTGAAATATTTCAGCTCAGCACAGATATTGATAAGAATAGTTTATCTTTTTTCTCTTTCTTAAAATAATCCAAAAAGGATTACTTAGATGCTCCCAAACATTTTATTTTCAGGTTAATCCCACTAGAAACAAAAAAATAACATTTAGAAAGGGACTAGTTTATGATTATTAAAACGAGACTGTCAGCCGGGCGGTGGTGGCGCACGCCTTTAATCCCAGCACTCGGGAGGCAGAGGCAGGCGGATCTCTGTGAGTTTGAGGCCAGCCTGGTC